TTTAACACTGCTAAGCGTTTTTTCACCTGTAAGTTAGGAATAAAAGTAGCACCTAGCTTGTAAGGGCATAGGGACGATTAAATGAGATGATGCATGTAAAACTCCCAGCAGAAGACCTGGCACATGGCAAGTAAGTAATAAACGTTTGCTCTGACCTGCCTTGTAGTTACCTCTGGTAGACTGGAATATTTCAGTATATAAGAGCATCAGGGTCCTTACAAACCTGTTCATTAATATGGTAAATATACTGAAAGCCTCCTTATGAGCCTGGCATGGGCGCTCCCTCAGGAAACAAAGCAGACAAACATCTCTGACCTCATGGAGCTGATGTTCTATTAGGGAGGAAAAGTAATAAACAAGCCTAAGTGAGTAAATTATGTAGTACGTTAGGAAGTCATACAGGAGAAAGAAAAGTTGAGCACAGTAAGGAAAAGCTGATGAACAGGAGAAAAGAGGGTTGCAAATGAGATGGGCTGGTCAGAGCAGGCCTCAGGGAGGAGGTGACACTTGAACAAAGACATGGAGGGAGTAAGGGAGCCGTGCATGCTCTAACTCTTTAGCCCGGCCTTTCTCAACCTCAGCACCGCTGACATTCTGGGGTGGATAGTATTTTGTTGTGGGGGCTGTCCTGCACACTGTGGGCGGTTTAGTGGCATCCCTGGCTTCTCTCCATTAGTTAACAGTAGCAGCCCTCTCCAAGGCGTAGGATAATCAAAAATGTCTGCAGACATTGCCACGTGTCCTGTGGGAGAGAAAATCGCTGCTGGTTGAGAACCATTGCCGTTGCAGGCAGCGGGGAGTGCAGCGGGTGTGTCTGAAGACCAGCCAGAAGGAAAGCATTGTTGGAGACGAGTGACCAAGGGGAAGAGTGGCAGGTGAGGGGGTGGGAGACAAGGGGACTCGGCTTCCTTGGCTTTGACTCTAAGTGAGATGAGGAGCCACAGCAGGAGTTTGAACTGATCCATGTTCATTTGACAAGGATCACTGCGACCAGTGTGCTGAGAACAGACTGAGGAGAGGCAAAGTTGGAATCGGGGACCGGTTAGTAAGTATTACAGGAATCCAGGTGGGATGATGAGCACTCGCACCAGGCTTTGAGCACTGTAGGCAATGAGACGTGGTCATATTATGGATCTATTCTGAAAATAGAGCAATAGGATTTCCTGATGGATTGGTTATGGGGTGTTTGCAACAGAGAGGTTTCCAGGAAGACTTTGGCTTGAAAAACCAGAAGAAACAGTTGCCCTCAACTGAGATGGGGACGGTTTCGAGTAGAGGAGGTTTGGACAGAAGATGGGGTTGGGGCATGTTGAGTCTGAGATGCTTCTTCGACCTACAAGTGGAGGTGGCTACAAGCGGTTGAGGACATGGGTTCCGTTAGGGAGTTGGGTGGCGCTGGAGATAAAAATTTGAGGGTCCTTGACATACGGATAGGGTTTAAGCTAGTAGATGGGATGAGATCCCCAAGGGGAGTGAATATAGCCAGAGAAAAGAAGACGACAAGACTGACCGCTGGCCCTCCTACACGAAGAGGCCAGGGAGAAGAGGTGGGATCAGCAAAGGAGACTGAGAAGGAAGAGCCAAACAGGTAGGAGAAAACCAGAGGATGCTGGTGTCCTGGGAGCCAAGTAAAGACTGTACTGAGGAGGAGGAAGTGAGCAGATGGGTCCGATGCTACTGTCAGAGGAGGAGAGAGAACTGAGCATTCTCTGGGGTCTGTGGGAGCTGGGGTGTGACTGAATCTGGGGTCTAGATGACCACCATCACCATCACTGTCACCATCACTATCACCATCAACGATCACCAAATAAATCTCTGACTTGGTAACTAATGGGGATCTGACCATAGAGAAGTGTTTATGGAAATTTACTTAGGAGATCTAGAATCTGATCCCAGATCTGCCACTACAAATAGCTTCATGACTTGGGGCAAATAGCTTATTCTCTCCTTAAATACAAAATGTGACAAAAATATGTATGCTACCAAAAACAATACGCATGCTACCTATTCTACAGGGTTGCTGGTAGGATCAAATGAGACAACAAATACATAAAAGTGCTTTGAAAGGTATAAAGTTTTATATAACTAATGAGAGAGAAGGTGCTCTTGTTTGTAACTCAAGAACGAATTGATCTTTAATGTAGGATGACAATTTTAATGTAGGATGACAGTGTAGGATGACAATTTTAATGTAGGATGACAGTGTAGGATGACAAACACATGTTTTTAATAGTTAAAAAGCTGGATGATAGTATCCTTATAAAGGCATTTTAAATAACACAATATTAAGAATATCCTTGTCAGGCTTGCACAGAAAACAACACACTGCTGTTCGGTAAATAGGCTACCACCGGGGCATCTAAATTTAATTACTGAGTCACAGTGAGTTTTATAGATGGAATTCTGCAAATTGATATGTTAGTGGGACATGAGTTAAGTAACTATGGAGCCCCATTTGCAATCCCCATAACTCAAAGAGCCGGGTACCCACTGTCTGCCTTGTAGAATACAGGATTAAAAAATATACTGTTGTATGTGGTTTGAGAAGCAGGCTAAGTGTCAAGGCAGTGTGCCACCTGGGGAGGCCAGAAATATCTGAACAGGTCAGACACTGAGGCATTGACTCTGTGAAGAAGTCAACTTTTAACTGACATATGCTACACCAGTTAAAATTAGTTACCTCTTCCGATGACTCGGGCTCCAAGCAAGACTCACACTTCCTTTCAAGGAGTAAAGAGAGAAGATCTCTTCCTCTTTCAGAGATGGGCTGCTCGTCCCGCAGAGCAGCGCTTATGCTCTGGTCAAGCTTACTGTCCCAGGAGATCACGGACATCCGCAGTGTGGTCAAGAATGCTTCCCCGAAATAAGCCCGAAGGCCCTGGTCAAGGAAACGGTGCCGGGGCCAGATCAGTTCCATTCTGGGTAACTGCTATTAAAGCTTCAAAATTATAGTTGAAAGAAAAATGGGGCTTGGTATGGATCATCTTTGCTTGCCCTTACCATGGGTTATGACTGTCATTTCCAATTCTGGTGAGGCTTATGTATCGACAAGGGAGTAAGCCCAGAAAGCTGGGATGCCTTTCTTATAGGAAGACCACTTCTCTCTGATTCCTACAGAGGGGTGCATGCATTTTGTTATATGCTGCCACAGGAAATTTGATCAGGAAAACCTTCTTCCTGGCCAGGCAGTAGGAACCAGAGTCCAACAATGGGACCTAAGTAGCTTTGAAATATTGCACAGCTTAAAGAATTTGTTATTCTGGGAGTGAAGCTAAGCGCCCCATGCATTTTATAAATACCTTGTAAAATGACCTCAGAAAGGCAGGGTTTGCATCCTGGCGGAAGTCCTCGGCGGTGATGTGGGCCAGGCAGTGGATCAGCAGCAGAATGAAACTTCCCGCAGACGCCAAAGAATCTCTCCCAACAAACAGTGCGTTTTCAGTGCTCTGAGTAGAGGAGATACCCAAACACAGAGATGTCAACCTCAGGGAATGTTTCCACTACCTTTTTCTCTTCCTAGTTTTATGTGGTTTAAAATAACTTTTGGAATCATAATATCAGAGACTCCCTGGGGTTAATGGAAATTTACTGAAGGAAAGATTCAGATGTAGAGGGAAAAAGTATTGCTTTAGTTCAACTCCCTGAATAAATCATGTTCCCCACTGTTCCTCCAGTTTTTGCTACCCCCGTGGTACAGAAAATAAACTACTAGAAATTCAGAGCGAAGTTACTCATGCATCTCTGTTTTTTTATTGATGTCCTCCAATCACCGTTTCCTTAAGCAGTGGTTCTCAAATTGTATCTGCAGATAAAAATCACAAGGGAGTGATTCTATTCTTGGGGCCCATCCCAGAATGTCTGGTTCTGTGGGCTGCTTTAGGGGAGTCCTTGGCATTTCCATGTTTACCAAGCTTCCCAGGTGGTTGACCCATGAGGTCCAAGGACCCCAGTCTGAGAATCGGTGCCTTATAGGGCTCTCTGACTTTGTCTTTCATATCTTTATTGTAATCAGGTTCTCAAATATTCTGTCTTGTCTAATTGATTTGAAATAACTCTCTTGTTCAGGCAATAGGTTGGCATGGAAAAGCATTAGGTAATTTCAAGCCAGATAGTCTGAGATCCGTCCCTGGAATGAGCTCTGGGTAGCGACACAGAACAGTGGTTAAAAAGGAGGTTGAATTTAGAACTTGAGTTTAAACTCTTGCTAACACTGTGATCTTAGAAAAGTCACTTGGCCTCAATGGGCCTCAATCTCCTACTTCATAAATTGGAGATAGCAAGAGCACCCATCCCCTAGGGTTGGGTTGTTATAAACTGTAAATGATATAGTGCATGTAAGGTGCATGGCCAAGTGCCTGACACACAGTACTCAATGAATCCTGAGTTGGCTTCCCTGTCAGTAAAATGGGATTAAATTCTTGCCTACTTCATAGATTTCTTTGAGGATCAAGTGAAAGGATGCTTGGAGGGTGCAACGAAAGGGTAATTTTTGGTCTTATGACATCCCCTAAAAACCAACTAGTCAAGTGTCAAGGCTTCCTAGTCCTCTAGCATTGGTTAGCAGTGCCCCTCTCAAATCACTGTTTACCAATGAACTGTTCTCAGTGTTTAAGGTCTGTGTACACCGGCTTTGGGCTGCCACCAAGGCACTGCCAATCCTACATATTTGAGGAACTGCAAGGACAGGAACAATTTCAATCCCTTTCTGCAGAAAGATGCTGATTGTGCAGGATCTGCTAAAGCTGGAACCATGACTCTTATGGGAAACACCAGTCTGGAACCATCGACTTTGATGACAGAGATTCAGTAAGGGGCACAAAGCCATTATGATTCTCTGGGCTGGGACATATTCATTTCACTAATTGGAGAAAGCTTTTACATGGTGACATTTATTATGCCTTACTAAATGACTTATTACCAAGGGGGATAAAGAATGTCAGGACTTGAGAGAGAAAAATGTTTTATAACATTTGGTCTTTTTGCTCCTTTTTAGACGCTAGAATTTTACAAACCCTCATCTGGAACTGAATTTGTAGCACCTGATAGAAGAAGGAGCCTTGGAAGGTATTGTCTGAGGCATCCATCGCAGGAAGATGAGAAGCAATCTGCAGGGTGATTTCAGGAGCCTGAAAAGAATAAGAAACAAATAAAACCCAAACCAAGACCCATCTTCTTGCTAAGCAATTCTCATGTGGCTCAGCTACACAGCACCAACCAAATTAATGGGAAGTAAATGCATTGGAACAGGATAAGAAGATTCAGCATACACTACAGGAAAGTGCAAAGAGTATTTATGTGTTTAATATTTATGCTAATTACAAGAATTAATTTATTACTTTTTTAAATAGAGTGTGGCAGTCAGGCATGGGGGCTCTTGAGCATGACGGCTGGGGCCTCACCCCATTCTACCCTTTCGGTTGTGGAATCTTGGGTAAGTTAACTCAATCACTTTGTATTTTCCCACCTCACTTTTAAAATGAGAAAAAAAAAATAGATATAGGGGCCTGGGAAGATGGCAGAGGAGGAGGATCCTAAGCTCATCTCGTCCCATTGATACACTCAGATCAAAGCCACATCAGTGTAACTAACCCAGAAAATGACCCAAAGACTGGTAGAACAGAGTCTTCACAGTTAATCACAGAGAGGAGACCACATTGAAAAGGGTAGGAGAGCTGGAGACGTGGCTGAGAACCAAACCCCCAGCAAGAGGAGGAGATAACCACACAACCACACGTATCAGTTTGACGGCAGCCCCAGCAATGGGCGGGGAGCAGACATCTGGTATGACTGCTGATCCCGCCTACCAACAAAAACCTCATAAGGGGCAGTATAAGCAGAGAGTCTTGTAGTTCAGGGTCACTGCAACCCCAACAGAAGGACTGGGGGCAGACATCTTGTCTGACTATAGGCCCCACCAACAAACGAAAGCCTCTCAGGGGACAACACAGGGACAGTAACCTGTAGTTCAATGTGACTGCAGTGCTAGTGAATGAGCTGAGGGCGCACATCTGGTCTGATGCAACCACAAGCCCAGAGTAGCCCCAAACTGGCCCCTTAACAGCATAGGGACCAAACGCTGCCCACAACAGGCAATGTAGGCCATTACAGCTGACTGGACTGAAGTCGATGTGTCTCAGGACAACAGTAGGGTACACAAAACATACATAGGAGACACCCCTGGCACACCTGGTCTGGTGAACAGGGGACACTGTACCGTAGGGCACTACTGGGCCTCTTCTTCATATGGCTGCTACTTTCTTTTTCTTTTTTTTCCAGTAATACCTTCTTAAGATATAATTTCTTTTTTTCCTTTTTTCCCCAAGTGTTTATTTAAATTCCAGTTAGTTAATGCACAGTGTAATATTAGTTTCAGGTGTAGAATTTAGTGATTCATCATTTACATACAACACCCAGTGCTCATCACAAGTGCCCTCCTCAGTGCCCAACACCTATTTCACCCATCCCCCCGCCCACCTCCCCTCCAGTAACCATCAGTTTGTTCCCCATATTTAAGACTGTTTCTTGGTTTGCCTCTTTTTCCCCCCATGTTCATTTGTTTTGTTTCTTAAATTCCACATGTGAGTGAAATCATACAGTGTTTGTCTTTCTCTGACTTATTTTGCTTAGCATAATACTCTTTAGCTCCAACCATGTCATTGCAAATGGCAAGATCTCATTCTTTTTTATGGCTGAGTAATATTCCATCGTGTGTGTGTGTGTGTGTGTGTGTGTGTGTGTGTGTGGTGTACATACATATATATATATATACACACCACACACACACCACATCTTCTTTATTGATTCATCAGTTGATGGACATTTGGGCTCTTTACATAATTTGGCTATTGTTGAGAGTGCTGCTATAAACATTGGTGTGCATGTATCTCTTCAAATTAGTATTTTTGTATCCTTTGGGTAAATACCTAGTAGTGCAATTGCTGGATCCTAGGGTAGGTCTATTTTTAACTTTTTGAGGAATCTCCATACTGTTTTCTCAAGTGGCTGCACCAGTTTGCGTTCCCACCAACACTGCACCAGGGTTCCCCTTTCTCCACATCCTCACCAACACCTGTTGTTTCCTGTGTTAATTTTAGCCATTCTGTCAGGTGTGAGATGATATCTCATTGTGGTTTTGATTTGCATTTCCCTGATGATGAGTGATGTTGAACATCTTTTCATGTCTGTTGGCCATCTGCATTTCATCTTTGGAGAAATGACTATTCATGTCTTCTGCTGACTTTTAACTGCATTATTTGTTTTTGGGGGGTGGAGTTTTATAAGTTCTGTATATATTTTAGATACTAACCCTTTATCAGATATGTCATTTGCAAATATCTTCTCCCATTCCATAGGTTGCCTTTTAGTTTTGTTGTTTCCTTCACTGTGCAGAAGCTTTTTATTTTGATGAAGTCCCAGTAGTTGATTTTTGCTTTTGTTTTCCTTGCCTCAGGAGACATATCTAGTAAGAAGTTGCTATGGCTGATGCCAGAGAGGTTACTACTTGTGTTCTCCTCTAAGATTTTGATGCTTTCCTGCCTCACATTTAGGTCTTTCATCCGTTTTGAATTTATATTTGTGAATGGCATAAGAAAGTGGTCCAATTTTATTCTTTTGCATGTTGTTGTCCAGTTTTCCCAAAACCATTTGTTGAAGAGACTGTCCTTTTTCCACTGGATACTCTTTCCTGCTTTGTCAAAGGTTAATTGACCATATAGTTGTGGATTAATTTCTTGGTTTTCTCTTCTGTTCCATTGATCTATGCATCTGTTTTTGTGCCAGTACCATCCTGTCTTGATCACTACAGCTTTGAAATATAACTTGAAGTCTGGAATTGTGATGCCTCCAGCTTTGCTTTTCTTTTTCAAGATTTCTTTGGCTATTTGGGGTCTTTTGTTGTCCCATACAAATTTTAGGATTGACTGTTCTAGCTCTGTGAAAAATGCTGGTGGTATTTTGATAGGAATTGCATTAATTGGTGGCCACCACTTTCAAGAGCAGGAGACTTAGCTGACTTCCCTAGTACATAGAAACAAACACAGAGTTAGACAAAATGAGGAGACAGAGGAATATGTCCCAAATGAAAGAACAGGACAAAATCAGAGCAAAGAGCTCAATGAAATGAAGGTAAGCAATATGCCTGATAGAGAATTCAAAGTAATGGTCATAAAGATACTTACTGGTCTTGAGAAAGGAGGGCAGGATCTCAACACTATCAAGTGCAGTAACATTCCCATTACACAGATCCCAGAAGGAAAAGAGAGATTGGCGGCAGAAAACTTATTAGAAGAAATAACTTCCCCAATCTGGGGAAGGAAACAGACATCCAGATCCAGGAGGCACAGAGAGCACCCACCAAAATATATAATAATTAAAGTAGTAGGAAGTAGTGATAAAGAGAATTTTAAAAGCATCAAGAGAAAAGAAAATAGTTATATACAAGGGAAACCTCATAAGGCTATCTGCTGATTTTTCAGCAGAACTTTGCAGGCCAGAAGACAGTGGCACGATGTATTCAAAAATGCTGAAAGGGAAAAAAAACTGCAACCAAGAATACTCTATCCAGCAAGGCTATAATTCAGATTAGAAGGAGAGATAAAGAGTTTCCCAGAAAAGTAAAAGTAAAAGGAGTTCATCACCACTAAACCAGCCTTATGGGAAACATTAAAGGTAATTCTTTAAGTGGAAAGAAAAGGCTGTAATCAGGTGTAATAAAATTAGGAAAGGAAAAAAAATTCATAAGTAAATAGAAACATAATAAAAGCAGATTAATCATTTATAAAACAGGTACGGAAGTTAAATCACAAAAGCAGTAAAATCAATTATATCTATAAAAACCAGTCAAGGAATTCCCAAAATAAAAGGATGAAAAGTATGGCATCATATAAATAAAATGTTGGGGAGGGGATTAAAATTTTAGTGCTTTTATTTTTATTTTTTTTAAGGATTTTATTTATTTATTTGACAGAGAGAGAAAGAGCACAAGTAAGCAGAGCAGCAGGCAGAGGGAGGGGGGAGAAGAAGGCTCCCCAGTGAGCAGGGAGCCCAATGCAGCTGCATCCCAGGACCCTGGGATAATGACCTGAGCTGAAGGCAGACGCTTAACCAACTGAGCCACCCAGGTGCCCAAATTTTAGTGCTTTTAGATGGGTTCAAACTTAAGTGAACATCAACTTAATATAGACTGCTATATACATAGGACGTTATCTATCAACCTAATGGTAACCACAAATCAAAAACCTGGAATAGGCAAAAAATGAAGAGAAAAGGAATCCAAGCATATCACTAAGGCAAGAGAGTAAACGAAGAAAGGAATGGAGAACTACAAAACAATCGTAAAAACACATAACAAAATGGCAAAAGTACATACTTATCAATAATTACTTCATTTGGAGGTTCTGGCAGGGGAATGCAGCTGCTCATATACCCTCAATAATTACTTTGAATGTAAATGGACTAACTACACCAGTCAAGATGTGGGGTGACTGAATGGATAAAAAAGCAAGACCCATCTATACGCTGCCTATGAGAGACTCATTTTAACCTAAAGACACAGATTGAAAGTGAAGGTATGGAAAAACATTTATCATGCAAATGGAAGTTAAAAGAAAGCTGCAGTATCAATAATGGACAAAACAGACTTTAAAACAAAAACTGTAACAAGAGACAAAAAAGAATTCTACCTAATGATAAAGGGAACAATTCAACAAGGAGATATAAGAAATAAGAGCTGATTGTAATAAATTGTGAATATTCATGCACTCAACATGGGAGCATTCAAATATATAAAGCAACTATTAAGAGACATAAAGGAAGAAATCAATTGTAATACAATAATAGTAGGGACTTTACCACCCCACTTACATCAATGGGTAGATCATCTAGACAGAAAATCAACAAGGAAACAGTGGCTTTGAATGACACATTGGACCAGATAGATCGAACACATACATTCAGAACATTTCATCCAAAAACAGAATACATATTCTTTTCAAGAGCAAATGGAACATTCTCCAGAATAGATCACATGTTAGGACACAAAACAAGTCTCAACAAATTAAAAAAGACTGAAATCATATCATGAATATTTTCTAACCACAATGGAATGAAACTAGAAATCAATCACAAGAAAAAATCCAGAAAGAACACAAATACGTGGAG